GGACAGGAGGAGACTGGACTACAGGGGACTGGAGGACAGGAGGAGACTGGACTACAGGGGACTGACTGGACAGGAGGAGACTGGACTACAGGGGACTGGAGGACAGGAGGAGACTGGACTACAGGGGACTGGACTGACTGAGCTGGAAGCTAAACAGCAGGTGAGTGAACTGACTGGACTGGGGAGGCTAAGGGATGAACAGAGGTTGGTGAGGCTAATGGCTGAGCTAACTGAATTACTGAAGGGGATAAAGCTGCAGCCTGGGCTAGTAAAGCTGGTGCCTGAGCAGGGGACAGGTCCGCTAGCCTAACCAGGGAAAGCGCTAGAGCATGGAAAACTGGATCAGGAGGTGGATGAAGAGGTAGACTAGCAGGGGGAGAGGCTAGCTCTTCCAAGCCTCTAGGGAGGTCAGGCTGGGTTGTGGCTGCCCTCAGCCTGGGTGCTGGGACAGGTATGGAAGGTGGCTGGACGCCAGTCACACCCACCCGAGGAACACGAACGGGTGCAGGAGTGGACTGGGTCGCAGCTGCCCTCCTCCTGGGAGCTGGCACAGGTTTGGGTGTAGGCTGACTGATAGGGGTGGAAATAATGACTGGGTGTGTGATACTGCCAGGTTTATCAGGGATTATTCTGGTCCTTCTGCCACCACTATTCACAGTCTTTGGGGGAGCAGAGCAGAAAAAAATCTTCCCAGTCCACATCATCGTCCAGGAGGGAAACTCCCCATGAATCAGAGATGAGTCTATTACACGTTTTAAGTGAAGAATCAGACGAAGAGTGCGAAAAACAGTCACTGGAACTCACCACCGGGAGTTGCTCAAAATGGTCCATATTACGCGGGGTAAACTGAGCCTCTGGCGCGGGAGCCTCCGTTGAGCAGAGTTGGGAGGCAGAGCCACTGTGGCATGGCGAGGTTGGAGGTCCAGTGAATGAGGCGGCGGGTGTGTGAGCGAGGAGCGGAGCGGCGAGAAACGCCCACTCTCCGCGGCAAATGCTCCGGTGCAGGTGAGGCAGCAGGTGGGGGAACGCGGCGTCTCCGAGGCCCGCCCAGAGCCAGGCGAGTCCCCTCGAAGACGTGCTCTCTCTCCGC